ACCAACAAAACAATAATAAAATAAAGAAACAGTACAGCTTAATTCATTACGACGTACCAGCTGTACAATACGATTTCACTTATCCGAATCCGAATACGAGCAGGATAATATAAATTAACATACGTACATGAGAGAGTTCAAGTTCTTGTAAGTGACCGTTTTGTCGAGAAACAAGATGTATTTCGTCTGAGAATCCAGTCCGACCAAACAAGCCGCCAGAACGAGAGCCGCCACGGCTCCAACCCTTAGACCACACTCCACCACTACCATCTTCATGACGATTGATCTCTAGTAGTCGTTGAAACGAGAAGGAAACTCGACCATATAAGAAAGTAAGGAACACCAAGCTAGAGATTCACTAACACGATGTGAGTTAGCCAATTCTCGGACAATAGTCACTCTCACTAGCTAGCTAGCTATGGTTTCCCCTGGCTGGGAGCTCTTTCTTTATAAGTTCTTTGAAACGTGTGGTGGGGGATCGATCAAATCAATGGCGGCTGAAGAGAGAAAGTTTGAAGGAAATGTGGTAGGCAAGAGATCCACGATGGAGATACCCAAAAAAAAAAAAAAGAGAGAGTGTTGGAACTCTGATTTATTGAGTTCCATAAGTATTTACTTCCTCCCTTTAATATTATGCCTACCATTTGGGGTCCAATGGAGCGATGTAAGTATTACCTTCCAAGTTCCAAGTTGTCCAAAAATAAATAAAAAATAAAAAAAATCAAGTAAAGCCCCCTTTTCATTAATTGTTCACGAGCTACCTCTCTCTCGATAGCTATGGTACGTAGTGAGCAACGGTCCAAAACGATTACCTATGAAACTAGTATATAGCAGGCCATATATCGATCTCCATCTGTTGTTATCGTGTTTTATGGTGATAGCTTTGTTTTAGCAAAGGCCTAATTTTCTTGTTATATCTCAATAATACTCAATACACTATCGTGTTTTCTTAAATACATACTATTCAGAAGATGAAGAAAAAAAAACGTTACGAGTTCGCATCACAATAATTCCCGTGCTTATATACCGTTGTATTTATGTATTCCCTTCTTCCAAACAAAAAACTGACTTGCATGAATCGAAAGTTATTATGATATACAGACATATGAGAACGTTTAATCAAAGATCACACAACATGACAACAATATATATACGATATCACCGATTATTTTATCTCAACATCTCGAATACAGACTACTACTGCGCGCTCAACATTCTCACAGTTGTATGTCGACACGTGTCTGCCTTACAAATTAAATTACTTGTAAAATGTAGAATTTCACATCTAAGCATACACTTAGCTTCGATCGAGTACATCGCGACGAAGATGGAAGTAGCTAGTAGATTGAGTGATGGACGATGCAATGGACGAGCCACCACCACCATGTGTATAAGATAAAGAGTACAAATTAAAGAGATGGAGAGCAAAGGATATGATGGATGGGTACGTGTATTTATTGCATATATACTTTCCCGGTCGTAGAGGTGCACACTAATTGCCTCATACCTAATAACCGATCTCATTTATTACAAATAATAAAGACATTTATATTTTCAAATTTTCTTGCATGCAATCAGGGTGGGCAACGATTCGGTTCACATCGGATCAAATCGGACCGAATCGACTCTCACATCGAATCGGATCGAACTGTTTATTTTTTTATTCGAATTTGGCTCCTAAATTTGGTTAATTTTTCGGTTTTGCTTCGGTCCAGACCGAAACCGTAAAATCAAGCTAAGGATCGGACCGAATCGTAATTAAATGAATTGCCTATTATATTATGCTCCGAGAAGGCAAGTCGATTTGGAGTTGAAAAGTGAAAACCCTAGTACCCTACACGACACTTAACTACCTATAAGTATAATTGACTTTCCCTGACTTAGACTCGTCGCTCCTGCTCCTATAGTCTTACCCACAAATCAGGGTTCTCATCGGCATTGCTTCGATCAAGAGAGCTGCTTACTTGCACTAGTTCTTGGAGTAATTAAGTGTCACTTTGTTAAACTCCTTTCTAATGCCTTGTACCATGTGCTTATATTGCAGAAAAAGGCTTTCTAATGGGACAAGTGGAAATTCTGGAGATTGGGCGGTCCAACGTGCACTGGAAATGAAAATGGAAGATTAGAGAGGCAATTAGTTAGACTACCTTTGAGATTGAATAAAAAGACTTTTGTCTTGTAAGTTTAAACAATAATTCACGTTTAGTTTTTTGCATAATATTTTGGAATATGTGGTTTTTTAAGAATTGTAGAGTATTTAACTTTGGATAATTTGATTACTTTTTTTGTGTAGTTACATTTTTTGAATTCTTGTGCTGTCCTTTAAGAGTGATTTTATACTAATGAAAGATTAGTTGGTCCAATGGGGATGGTCCAGACCGAATCGATCCATATATGGTTTGATCCAGACCGAATCGAAGTAATAACGATTCGACTTTGGTCCTTGATTTAGAAGAAATTTTGGTCCGATTCGAAAATAGTTTGGTCGGGTCTTGGACCTAATCGATCGATGCCCACCCCTCCATGCAATAACAAGACAAACCCGCTAGCATTTAGTACATTGAGATTTACATGCATAGACAGCATAGTGACATATATAAATGGACAAAATATATAATTATACGGTCCAACATTCGTAATATCTAGATTTACCACTTACAAGAGAAATAATTAGGTATTCCATGGGAGTACATAATGATTATTTATTAACCGTTTATGATTCTATAAAATTTCTTTCATAATAGAGAAAGCCTCTTAAAAACCATCGCTTTAGTGATGTTGCTCGAAGGAGGCGTGCTTTCTGGCTTTCTTATATTTTTTTGTTATGATGAAAACTAGACCCTAATATATATCGTATGGAAATGGAATGGAAGGCCCTAGCTAATTAAGCTACGTTCACATGGTAATTGACCCGTTTAATTAACACTAGCGTGGGCCCCGGCCATTTGGCCGGACGAAGATGAGGTATGAAATTTGATAATGTAATGGGGTGTATAGCTTATTGTTTGAACCTAACTGAGTGTAGGAGTGAGGTTCGAAGGAGAGTTTGGGTCGAGAAGAAACGCGAGAGCCGAGCTGGATCAGTGGAACCAGAATCAGAGAGTTGAGTGAGAAAGAGATTAGAAAGAGAAGTAGTTCTTGTAGAGAGAGAATGGTGAAAAATGCGATCCCCTCACCCACCGTAGTAAATGCCATATTTATAGGCTTCATGGTGGTGGGTGAGTGGTTGACATAGGGAGAGATACAGTGATGTGACTACTGGGATACAATGATGTGACCACTAGCACACTAAGGCTTTTAGGCCATCCCTCTACCTAGGATGAGTCAGAGATCCACTCATGGCCCTGATGTGACTACCCGCTTGGAAGAGGTGCGCTTCCCTCATCTTCTGGTTCAGCCTACGCTAGTCCTCCCCTAGCGCCTGTCATCTCTTCGCGCCTGGACGTGGTTAGCCATGATGAGGCGGCACACTCGGGGTCCTCGCGCTGCCGTGTTGGGGTCTCATCCAGTTGCGCCCGGTTCCTTGGCGTGGTTAGGCCCGAGTCCTATGCCCAACAATTGCCCCCCAGCAGGGGGTGTTTTGTGAACGCCTCCTGTTTAGGTTTCCTCCGGACTCGGGCCGGTCCGCTTGTAGCTATTGGTTGGCGCCGACGTGCGCGATACTATGAACTGGCGTCGCCTTGCCCTGACGCCATGTGCCATCGCGCTCGTTGTTGGGCTTCATTCGGTCGCCACGCGCAATGCTTGGCGCGCGCTGTTGTGCGTACGGGGTCGTTTTCTTCGTGTGCGGTACGCGCTAATGCGCTCGTTGTTGGTCTTTGTTCGCTGAGCGCGATACTCGCGCGCGATGCGCTCGTGGAGTTGTTTTCTTTTCGCAGCGCGACGCATGTTTTCCTCTTCCAGGCGTTATCCTCGCGATAAGCGCTCGCGGTTGAGCTTTGTTCGTTGAGCGTGATACTCGCGCGCGATGCCCGTCGATGCGCGCATGGGGTTGTCTTCTTGTTGCGACGCAATGCGTGTCTTTCTTTTCCTCGCGGGTGTGCCATGCCCCCCAGTCGGTGCGCGGCGCTGGTGGCGTCGCCGACTAATGCCTATGATTGTAGGTGTCAACGTGTCACTGTGTGGTTAGGCTATTTGGGCGGGGGTTTTTTGAATTTCGAAAAGATTTGGTGGGATCTGACTGTTACGGATCCCAATGTGGCTTTAACCTTTCGCATTCCGCCGAACGGCCTTGGCCCTTCGCTTTCCCCCGGATCAATTATAAATATGAGATTGTTGAAGGGAGGAGGGCTCACTTGTTTTCTCCGATCATAGCCTCGCTTTTGTTTTCCTAAGATTTCCCTCCTCCTTCACTTCTCTTTCCTCGAGATTTTCTCTCCTCCTTTTACTACCCCAATCCTCTTCTGCTGTTGATCAACTTCGAGTCGATATCATGTCCAACATCAACAACCAGGAGGCCGAGGTCGTACAAGGCGAAGAAGGTAATGTCTCTCCTCTCTCGCATACTTCTTCTGACCATTCCGGTGGTGGGAATGGAGGTTCTGGGGATTGGAACGGTGGATCCGACGGTGGGGGTGGCAGTAGTGGTGGTGGACTTCCGGCGACGCCGACGTTCGATGCTAGGTCAGGCGATGGGGCCGGAAGCTCTTCTGATCAGGGTATAACCGTTTCCGGTAGTGGGGAGGTGGCGCGGCCGGCTCGGGGGATTCTGATTATTCGGCGTAACCAGGGTGGTGGGCCGGTCGCCGGCGACGAAGCGGCCGACGAGGAAATCGCCGACGAGGAAGTCGCCGATGGTGAGGTCGGCGACGATGAAGTCGCCGACGATGAAGACTTCGGCGATGAGACAGAGCAAGGAGACTTTGATGTGCAATTCGCG